CGCTGTCCCAGTCCTGCCAGGCCCTCCTTCCCTGCTCCCAGGAAAGAGCACCGGGACCTGTGATTTCCCAGGGGCCTCGGCTGCTGAAGACAAGGGCCTCTGGCAAGAGCCCACCGTCCCCCTTACTGGGTCACCCGGCCATTTGACAAGCCTCAGGGCGGTCTGCTCCGTGCTGGGCCGAGTTCTCAGAGGTGGGTCCCATGAGGCCCTTGCCCTGGGTGAGACAGAGATGTGGGCACATCAGTCCAGCCGTGCATGGAGCTTGTGCTGTGAAGTCAGAGGGGGCTTCCTGGAGGAGGGGGTAACTGAGCTGAGTCCTGAGGGGACAAGGGTGGCCTGGAGGTTCCAGAACTGCAAGGAGCCCGCAGCCATGCCCCTGGAAGCCAGGTCAGGCCGGGCAAAGAGCATGAGCCTGGCACTGGGGGCCCGGAAAGGACCTGCGCTGTGGAATGCAAGCAGAGCCCCGCTGCAGAGGATGTGGGGAAGGCTGGGGGAGTTCAGCTGTTGGCGATTTCACGCCCTCTCCTCAGCCACTTCTTGGTGACAGGCGCCAGCCATGGGGCCCAGGTGCCAGAGAGGGTCATATTTCGGTAGCAGGAGAATGACAAGGAGATTTCCTCTGGAGGGGCCCAACCCCCCCGGGACAGCTGCAGCTGCCTCGCGGCATACCCCGGCACTAGGCCAAGTCCTGCGGCAGCTGGAGGGGTGGAGGGTCCCAGTTAGGGTCCCAGGAGTGTGGGGAGGGGGTGGGCACTGCGGGGCTGAGTGTGCACACGCGCAGTCGTGCCCACACCTGGCTGCCTGTGTGCCTGGGAATGGGTCTGCTTCACCCTTTTGTTCAACAGACACTTACTGCACCCCAGTTCCTTTTTCTTTCAAGTTTTATTTTATTACTTATTTATTTATTTTGAGACAGAGTCTCGCTTTGTTGCCCAGGCTAGAGTGAGTGCCGTGGCGTCAGCCTAGCTCACAGCAACCTCAAACTCCTGGGCTCAAGCAATCCTCCCAGAGTCTCACTTTGTTGCTCAGGCAAATGTGCCCTGGCGTCAGCCTAGCTCACAGCAACCTCAAACTCCTGGGCTCAAGCAATCCTCCTGCCTCAGCCTCCCCAGTAGCTGGGACTACAGGCATGCGCCACCACGCCCGGCTCATTTTTTCTATATATATCAGTTGGCCAATTAATTTCTTTCTAGTAGAGATGGGGTCTCGCTCTTGCTCAGGCTGGTTTCGAACTCCTGACCTTGAGCAATCCGCCCGCCTTGGCCTTCCAGAGTGCTAGGATGACAGGTGTGAGCCACCGCGCCCAGCCTGCACCCCAGTTCTGCCAGGTGCTGCCCTGGGTGGGGCTTGGGGAGCTGAGCAGGAATGACCATGGCTAACCTGGGTCAGGGGCCACACAGAGTGTGAAGGGGCCATGCAGGAAGACTTAGAAAAAGGGGGATTTTCCCCTGGGAAGGGGAGAGTGTGAGAGCCAGGCCGGGGTGTTGCTTTTCATTGAAAACTATTTTGTTCCATTGGAGTGTTTTTATAGTTTAAATCACGTGCATGTGTTAACGCTTTGAAACTCTGGTTCCCAAAGTGTGACCCCGGCTCCCTGCCCAGACCTGCAGCAGCTGGTTAGAAATGCACATTCCCAGGCTTCACCCCAGACCTACTAAATACAAAATTCTGGGGTGGGGCCCCCCAGTCCAAGCGTTCCAGGGAATTCTGAAATAGGCTGCAGTTTCAGAGCTACTGAGTTTAAGAGCACTATCAAAGCCGGCCTTGCCTCCTGGTGCCCCCAGTTTGGGGGAGGGAGACCATTCAGACATGGCCCCTTCATTAGGGCCCAGAGAGCCTCTGAATGGGGGGGAGGGGCTCAGCCTAGAAACTGGCCTGGAAAGGAGGTCTGAGGAGGCTGCCTGGGACATGAGGTCCGAGCGGTATCTGAAGGGCCAGAGGGGCTTGGCCAGACAGGCGGCGGGAGGAGGAGTGTCCCCAGGTAGGAGCAGCCAGCGTAAGGTCCCTGGGCTAGCCACAGGTTGGAGCCCAAAGTCCTGAGCTGGGGCCCATCTGTGGCTGGGTGTCATGACTGTCCGTCCACTCGTGCATGGACATCTCACTAACAGATGTCCCCTGCTTCGTGCCCCTGGAGCCTCTGTGACCCTTGGAACTGCCACGCTGCCTGGGGTGTGGGTGGGCTCTGCAGTGGCACAGCACCTGGCCCTGGGCGCCAACTCTCCCGTTTCCCCCTGTGACACTGGGCCAGTCACATCCTCCTTCCGAACCTCAGTGTCCTCATCTGGGAAATGGGAACAAGAACGAATTCTTGGAAGGGCTGCCAGGAGAAGGGTGGGAGATCATGGCACGCAGCCCTGGAGGCCATTCCCTCCTAATCCCCGTGCAGTGACAGCTGTTGTTTACTGAGTACCTACAGCCGCTGTCCGGGGTGGCTGTCACCACGCCTGTGTTAAGGGTCTGTGTGTGTTAAGAGGAGGCTCAGAGAGAGTAACTGCAGGCATACAGGTTGAGCAACCCTAATCCAAATATCCGAAATCCGAATTGCTCCAAAATCCAAAACTTTTTGAGTGCCGACATGACACCGCAGTGGAACATTCTGCAATCTGACACCTTTGCTTCCCGATGCTTCAATGTACACAGACTTTGTTTCATGCACAGAATTATTAAAAGTATTGCATAAAATTACCTTTAGGCTATGTATGTAAGGTGCATATGAAACTTAAATGAATTTTACGTTTAGAATCAGATCCCATCTCTAAGATAGCTCACTGTGTATATGCGAATATTCCAAAACCTGGAAGAATCTGAAATCTGAGACGATCCTCCACCTGCAGCACCCCCTCTCCCCTGCGGAGCACAGCCCGATGCCCCTCCCCTCGCAGGTACGGACTGCCCAGCTGGCCGCCCCCATCCCTTGGCCGGGGCTTCCCAAAGCAGGGTGTCCGTCTGTCCGTTGCGCCCACCAGAGCCTTGACTGACACACACAGCCAGCAAGGGGCAGAGTACGGACGTGGGCCCAGTGCTTTTCTGTGGGCTCCTGTCGCTGGCTAGAGCCAAGGCCTGGCCCCAGCTGCTGCCATGCTGCCCCAGCAGGCTGGGGAGGGGCGGGGGGGACAGAGCGGCAAAGCTCGCACCAGGGAGCTAGCCGCATCTGTCTCATTCTGACATGGGACGTCAGGAATGTGGAACGGTCCCAGCGAGCCAGCGGGTACCTGCCAGGGCCGCTGGTGGGGAGGGGTGCCCCGTGAGCAAGCGAGTCCCTCCTGGTCCCCCGGGACTTACCAGGCAGCAGCTGGCCTCGTCACTCTGAGCCACCCGGCTCTGGTCTCCAACATGCACAAGGCCTGCCGGGCACTTGGGGGTCAGCCCCACTCCTTCCGGGAGCCCAAATCTGCACCCCAGGACCTGTGGCAGCCCTCTGTCTGTCCTCCATTAAATGGGGAGAAGAATCCTCATCTGTAGGCCCACGGGGAGGGAGGGCTCATGGTGGGGATGTGGAAAATGGGGGTTCTCATCCCACACCCTTCTCCTGACGCACTGCTTTAACCTCCCAACGCTGTCCTCCCCCAGGTGAGAGCCGAGGGGTCCGCCCCTCCCGCAGGGCTGGACTGGTGAAGGACAGTCACCAGCCAGTGGCTCCTGATGGGAGACTCTAAGTTTGTGAGTCTCAGAGTCAGTCGGAAAGTTTGGGGGCTCTGGGGAGCCAGTGGGGGGTCTTTGAGTACGGGAAGGGGCATAAAGCCGCCTGCAGGGAATCGGAGCAGAAGGGAAGCCAGAGATGGGGTGGGAGGGCGCTCAGGGGCACAGGAGCCCAAGCCCCGTTCCCAGGGGGGCGCTGCGGCTGGGCCCAGTGCTGCACATCCAGCCTCCCCTCAGCCCAGCCCTGCACCCCAGGAGGCGGGCAGGGCAGGGCAGGAGCACCTGCTCATGGGCGAAGAAAAAACCGTCAGAGAGGTGACAGCGCTGGCCTCAGGGACATGGCTGCCCCTTGCAATGAATGGCAGGATTTGAACCCGTCTCCAAGCCCAGTGCTCTCCCCGCCCGTTAGGGAGTATGGCGGCTCTTGAGGGAAACGAAGCGGTCAGTGGCTCCCTGGTTTCTGCTCTGGGGGAGGGGCACTGCAGTCTGGGACGCGGGGAGGACACTCGGAGCAGGGAGAAAATCACGGTCAGGAGCCACTGCTCAGTCTTCCAGGGCGGCTCAGCGTCAGCCTCTCACACCCAATCCCTCCGGCCCCGTATGTGTCTGCAGCCACCGCCGCTGCCTGGGCCCCGTGCGGCATCCAGGCGGCCCCAGTCCTGTCCCAGGCCTGAGGACTGCACAGGGCCAGCCCCCATGTCTGGGCCTCTCCACGGCCCACCCTGGGTTGAGCAGCAGTAACCACAGGGTTGGAGCCAGGGAAGGTTCCAGAGCCTTGGGAAGCTGATCCCTCCAAGAGGAGTCTGAGAACAAGGCTGTGACGGCCTCCCCAGTGGATGACCAGGCAGGCAGGGACAGCTGCAGCCCAGCCGGGCGGCCACCAGCTGCTGCCCGGGAGACCGGCCAGAGTGGGGAGGGGCGGGCACGGCCCCCGCCGGCCCCCGCCTGAGCCGAGGGCGTGGGAGCAGCCTCGGGTTTGCATGCTGTGTTAACGGTCAGCTGGGCTAATGCTGAGCAGATGGGGGAGGGGGGGGCTGCCAGCTCCCTTGGGGACAGACGCAGGGCAAACATGGACACACACGCCTGTGCTGAGGGTGTGGGAGCCCCACCCCAGGCATGGTGCCGTGCACACCCCTCCGGCCGGTTCCTCGCTCACCATCGCATGCGTGAGGCCACACCGGTAGGACAGAAGGACCGGCACAGAGGCACGCACGGCCTCCTGGGACGGCTGGAGGTGGACACAAACCCCAGGCCTGGCCCAGAGCCTCAGCGTGTGCCACCCAGGCAAAGCACCCAGTTTGGGGGAATCCCTCCACTCTCCTCCCCCTCCACGTCCCTTAGGGAAGACACCAGGCACACAGTTTATTTCAAAAAAATAATTTATAAGAGGCCATTTGCTCCTGTGTTTTTGGCAGACTTCCAGCCTCTCTGGGACACAGGGGGACAATGCTCCTCCCACCAAGGTGCTGGGACAAGCTGCAGCGGGGCTGGGGAGGCTTGGGGAATGGGGTTCAGAGGCCTCAAACCTCGCAACTGGTGTTGGGAAGCATGGAGGTTTAGGGTTAGGAGAGCAGCTCTGCAGCCAGGCCCAGCCAGACCCCCCAGATGGGGACAAGTGCCAGGGCCCAGGAGGCCAAGCACAGCCCCAACACTCAGGCCATTAGGACAATGGCACCATAACGCCAAGGGCAGGGTCCTGAGATCGGGGTTGAGCTCCGAGTTGGGAACCCAAGGCCAGGCCGAGAAGCCCTAACTAGGAACCCAGGACCAAGGGTGGGCCTCCTCAAAGCAGAGCCGGAGGTCTGGCGCAGCACCCTGCGGTCAGGGGCCCGGGGCTGCCCAGGTCAAGCACTGTGCCAGGTTGTGGCCGAGTCCGGAGGCTCAAGGCCACCAGCCTACCTGCCCACACAGCCCTGCGCCCTTCTCACGTCTGCGCCCCGGGGAAGGGGAAGGGGCTGGGCCCCAGCGGCAAGGGGTCGTGGCTGAAGACAGAGTCGCTGGAGGAGCAGGTGCTGCTGGCGTCCCCACCAGAAGGGGAGCAGGGGCCAAAGGTCAGACGGAAGTCGAGGTACTGCAGTGGGGAGCAGGCGGTCAGGCCAGGGGACGCCCAGAGGGGAACAGGCAGGGAGGGCAGGGGACAGCGGGGAGCAGTACCTCCTCAGAGACGGCCAGCAGGACCTTGTCCAGAGCCTCCACCAGCTGCTTGAACGTGGGTCTCTGGGAGGGTGCGGCGTGCCAGCACTCACGCATCAGCCCGTACCTGGGACAGGTGGGGGTCACAGGAGCCTCAGGCCTGGGGGCAGGGGAGGACTGTGGGGTCCCTGGGGGGCTTTGATGGGTGGGGCCATCCAGTGGGAGCCAGGCCAGGACTCCCCACTGAAGAGGAGGAGGAGGAAGAGGAGGAAGAGAGAGAGGAAGAGGAGAGAGAAGAGGAGGAGGAGGAGAAGGGGGGGGGAGTGAGAGGCGGAGGGGAGGAAAGGAAGGAAGAGGAAGGAGGAGGAAGAGGAAGGAAGAGGAAGAGGAAGGAGGAGGAAGAGAGAGGAAGAGGGAAGAGGGAGGAAAAGGGGGAGAGGAGGGAGAGGGGGGGAGGAGAAGAGGGAGAGGAGGAGGAAGAGAGAGGAAGGAGGAGGAAGATTCGTGTCTGAAAGCAGGGTCAAACCCTGAGGCCAAGGCCAGGGTGGAGGACGAAGACTGGAAGGTGGGGTGTGGGTGAGGCCTCACAGCTCCGGGGGGCAGTGCGGGGGCCGGTCCATCCGATGTCCCTCCCGCAGCAGTGAGAACAGCTCCTCCACCGGGATGCCAGGGTACGGGGAGCCCCCGAGGGTGAAGATCTCCCACAGCAGGATCCCAAAAGACCACCTGGAGGTGGGACCAGGGCTCAGCAGGGCGCGGTTTCTCTGCCCCGGCCCCTACTCCTGGGGGGGCCAGGACTGGGGACGCTGCGGGCATGACCCTCTACCTCGGGAGGAGGGGGTTGCGCCCCACTCGGGGCCCAGGCCTGACCATAAAGAGAATGTGAGTGCACAAGTGCAAGGGCCATGTGACTTCGGCCAGTGCCTTGCCTTCTTGTTGGGCAGGACACTGACCACTGCAGACACCCCGGGTCCCAGCCCCCAGGACTCACACGTCACTCTGGTGCGTGTACACGCGGTCAAACAGCGCCTCGGGGGCCATCCACTTGACGGGCAGGCGGCCCTGCGGGGGGAGGGGGCTAGCGCTGAGCCCGGCAGGTCCCAGGGCCCCTCCAGGCCCAGCCCCCCAACACCCGGTTGCGCCCAGCCCCCCTCACATTGCTGGTTTTCTTGTAGTAGTCGATGTGGTGGACGCCTCGGGCCAGCCCGAAGTCGGCGATCTTCATCACGCTGTCCTCGGTCACCAGCACGTTGCGGGCGGCCAGGTCCCGGTGGATGCACTGGGGGCAGGACAGGGGACGGAGGGGGCTCGGCTTTGTCAGGACCTGGTCATGCCTGGGAGCTGCACTCACCACCCCGTGGTGAGCCCCGGGGGGAGGGATCATCCACCCGTTCTACAGCCGAGGAAGCAGAAAGGGGAAATGCCCTCTTCTTTTGCATCACCTCTTCCCTTGCCTGCTCTATGGGTTCGAAAATGGGGACATGCAGTGGCAGCTGCACAGGACTTGGGGACATTTAGGGTATTGCAAAGGGGGAAGGGAGGGAGAAACTGGGACATTTGGAGAAAGCAAGAGCGGTTCGGAGCGTTGCCCGCACCTTCCGAGACTCCAGGTACTGCATGCCTCGGGCCACCTGATAGGCGCAGGAGACCAGGGCCGGGAAGGAGAGCGGCCCCTCGCTGCTCCGAGGGCCATCGGGGCTGAGGTCCGGGCCCGGGGGGCGCCGGGCGCGCAGGAACTCCCGCAGGTTGCCCTTGGCAGCGCACTCCACGATCACGTACAGGGGCCCTGCGGGGTGGTTCGGGAGGGTGCTGAAGCCCCAGCTCCGCACCCCGGCAGCCCGTGCGCCACCTGCGCCCCGCCCCACCTTCCTGGGTGCAGACACCCAGCAGGTTGATGATGTTCTTGTGCCGGCCGATCAGCTTCATCACCTCCATCTCAGAGACGAGGTCAGCCAAGTCCTTGTCCGAGGCGTTATCTGCAAGGGCGACGGCAGCTGGGGTCAGGACGCTGCAACTACACACACACACACACACAGACACAGACACACACAGACACACACAGACAGACAGACAGACAGACACACACACAGACACATACACACACACACGAGGCTTCGGGTAGGGGACAGGACAGGTGGCACCGCACCAGGCACCAGATTGGTCTGGGGTTGGATCCCTGCTGAGCTGTGTGACCTTGAAAAAGTCTCCTAGCCTCTCTGAACCTCAGGATCACCTTATGTGAAAGGGAACAGCGGACTCCCCATCTCACACAGCAGCTTCAAGGATGCAACTAGATTAGGATCTAAGAGGAGGAGGCCTCCAGTGGGCAGGCCCAGGACGGGGGAGCCAGGGGAAGAGCTCTGAGCAGGAGGAAGCTGCGTCTGAATGGGGTGACAGCTCCTGGGGGCGGGAAACAGGCTGGCTCCCCGGGGTCTGTCTGACCAGGCCTGGGAATTAAGGGAGCCACCAGCAGGGTGCCGCTAGGGCTGGTGGGAAGAAGTCTGCTCTGGCTCGGCGCCTGGGGCTGACCTGTGGCCCTGGGCCAAGCACACAACACCCCCCACACCAATCTCACAACGGAGATTTCTTAACCCTGCTCCCAGCAAGTGCCAGGTGGCCCCAGCTGTGCAGAGAGGAGGGAGGGAGCAGGACAGTGGCTGGGCCATTCTTGCAGAGGGGACTGGGGGACAGCAGCCCGGGGTCCCGATGGGCAGGGCCCAGGTGTGCCTGCCCCAGCATCTTGGGGCTGTGGCTTGGGGCCTGGCACCGAGTTAAGCAGAAGGGCTGTTCTCCTAGCGTGGCAGGCACAGCGGGGCAGACTGGGCAAGGGCGGGAGGCCGAGGCATGTTTGGGGATAACTGGGGGGGGATGAGGCAGACTAACCCCGACCAGACCGGCAGGGGATCAATCCCGTCGCCCCTCTGGTTAAGATTCATTGAACCCCAACTATGCTCCAGCTATGCACTCTCCACGAACCTTGGGCTGGAGCTAGTATTATTTACCCAATGTGACACAAGGGGAAACTGAGGCTCAGAAGTGACTTTGCCAGGGTCACTAGCAGAGTTGGACTGCAGGCCTAAGGGTGGGATCCCACAGCCTCCTCTGGCCCAGCGCTCGCCGGGCGGCACCAGGGGCCCCTCTGTTAGTCCCCGCATCCCTCCCCGGCTGCCACGTTCACCCTTGAGCATCTTGACGGCCACGGTGCTGGCCTGGTCGGGCCGGGCGGGGTCCATGCCGAAGGCCTCCGCGCGCACAACCTGCCCGAAGCAGCCCTCGCCTAGGGGCTTCCCAAGCACCAGCCTGCAGGTGAGGACGAGGTCAGAAAGGCCCTGGCCCGGGGCGTCACTCCTGCTGGGAGCCTGTCCCCCACCCCCCGCACCCCCAGCCCCCAGCGGTACCTGTCCCGGGGGAACTCCCACAGCGGGTCGAGAGGCAGGTCCAGACTCACGAGGCTGGCGAGCAGGGGGGGGCCGCTGGAGGACAGACGGACGCCGCGCACCAGGGAGGAGCTGGACTTGCCGGAGGAGCCTGACTCCAGGGAGAACTGCAAAGGCGGGAGGCTCGGCTCTGCCTGCTGGAGTCAGGCTGGGACTGGGGGGGTGGGGGACGGGCACAGTACCTGCCGGGCCAGAGGGAAGCGGGACAATTTCTGCACGGCGGCGGGCTGGCGCGGGTACCGGCCGTGGAGCGCCTGCCCTCGGTACAGCCCGGCCAGCAGCAGGAGCACCACGAAGGCCAGGGAGCCCGACGCGTACAGGATGACGTCCGTGTACCGAGCCTCGGCCGCCGCCGTCCACGTGAGGTCCTCCTCTGCCCCGCAGACGGACGGCACGGACACACCGACCGGTCAGCGGCCAGGATGGCCAGCCCCGCTCCCTCCACCTCCGGCCCTCCCGGCCCCCAACGCGCTCGGAGAAAGCCACAGCTCTGCAGTCACGCCCGTGGGCACGGCAGCGCCCCACGGACAGGTGCAGAAGCAAATGCACAGAGCATGCCCCCACATCCCAAGCCAGACCCCACAGAGCAAGGGACACTGTGCGCCCCAGGGGCCCCAGCCCGCTGCGGGGCCGGCGTGTGGGATCCCGCAGCCGCCCGGCCCACGCCAGGGCCCACCTGGCAGCACCGTGAGCCAGGCCGACTGGTAGGAGAGGCCGATGGAGTTGCCCGCCAGGCAGGTGTACTCGCCGGCGTCCTCCGCGGACACGTTCCGCAGGTACAGGACCTCCACCTCCGAGCTGTTGATGTCTGCGGTCTGGGCAGGGAGGGGGGACGCACGCTCAGGGAGCACAGAGCCTGGGGCCACGCGGTAGCCAGGGGGGGCAGCTGGGGACCCCTTCTCCCCCAGGCGGGCGGGCGGGGGAGGGGCAGGACAGGGCCACACCTTCAGGACCTGCACGTAGGGGAAGCCGTCGGCGCCCAGGCTGCTGCCGTTGATGACGACGTGCTTCAGCCACTGGATGTGGGGCTGCGCGTCGCTGTACACCTTGCACAGCAGCTCCACGTCGCTGCCCGCCACGGCCGTGGTGTTGGCCGGGAGCCCTGCTTGCAGGATGGGCCGGTGCGGGGACCGCTCTGGGGGCCAGGCCAGGCTGTCAGCGCTCAGCGGTGGCACCCACAGAGGCTCCCTGCTCACCTGCCCCCAGCCTCGCCCCAGCCCAAGGGAGGGGCCTTCCTGACGGACACCTCAGACTCCGTCTGGCTCCCGCTTATTCTGCTTAAACCTTCCACGCTGCCCTGTTACTTCCGGGGCAAGGAGCACCCCCTCTCAGCCTGGCATTCAAAACACTCCATGGGGCCGGTGCTGCGGCTCACGCCTGTCATCCTGGCACTCTGGGAGGCCGAGGCCGGAGGATTGGCGGGCGGATTGCTCGAGGTCAGGAGTTCGAAACCAGCCTGAGCAAGAGCGAGACCCCGTCTCTACTATAAATACAAAATTATTGCCTAACAAATATATATAGAAAAAATTAGCCGGGCATGGTGGCACATGCCTGTAGTCCCGGCTACTTGGGAGGCTGAGGCAGGAGGATCGCTTGAGCCCAGGAGTTTTGGAGGTTGCTGTGAGCGAGGCTGACGCCACAGCACTCACTCTAGTGGGGCAAAAAAGTGAGCTCTGTCTCAAAAAAACAAAAAAAACCAAAACACTCCATGGCCTGGCTCCCCCATAAATGCCACACCCCAGGGACGTGCCTCCCCACGAAGGCAGGGCACTCTTTATCCTCAGGACCTCAACTCAGCCTGTGCCCTGTGTCCGGATGCCTTCCTCCTCCTCCTCTGGGCAGACCCCGGCTCCTCCGGGCCCATGCTGACCCTTGCGCTTTCCTCCGACCCTCCTGGTCACTCGGAACTTCCCGACACATCTAAGACTGAGTCCATCTTGCCTGCCAGACAGGCCCTATCAGAGGGCACGACCGAGCAAGACGGGTCAGGTCCCGGCCCCACGGCTCCCTGCCCATCGCTCACCAGCCGTCAGGCAGTAGCTGTAGCGATGCTGCCAGGCGTTCTCCCGAGGCAGGATGTACGTGCCCGTGCCGAGGGCACACGTCTCCAATCACAGCCAGGCTCCAGTGTCGGTGGCGCAGCCTGGGGGGCAGAGAAGGCCCGTGGACCACCAGACATGTCCGCGGGCCGCGCACGGTGCAGGCTAAGATCCTGCCCAGGGGGCTCTTCTTACGCTCTCTAGATCATCCTGGGAGGTGAGGCGCAAGGCGGCACACGCACAAAGAAGCTCCAAACAAGTCCCTGACCACTGGGTTGAAGGTCTTTCTCTGCTCGCGTCCTCCCGCGGCCGCCTGGAGCGTCATCACGAGTCTCAGCTCTCGTTACTCGGCCGGGGCAACTGACCCTGCAGGCTGTCCGCCGTGAGTAACGGCGTGCTACAGGCTCTCTGAATTACCATACAACCGATCGGTGATTTTTTTCCCTGCTTTATAAATGGAATTGCTAAGGCTGAGAAGCTAAGGCGCTTGCCAGGGAGGGACAGAATGGAACTGAGCCAGGACCCCAAGTCCACAGCGTGCAGCCTTCTGGGCAAACGGACAGCCCTGCCTCCTCGCAGACTGTTGCAGGTGGGCTCAACGTATAGGTGTGAAGGGACGGGTGAGGGGACGAAGAACGGGGAGCAGACGGTCCTGAAACCCAGAGACTCACCCGGATGCCTCCAATGCGATTCTCTCCATGAAAGGCCTGTCCGTCTTTGAGCCAGCGGATGGTGGGCGAGGGGTTACCTGCAGCTGGGCAGCGGAACTTGACGGTGTTCCCGGCAGGCACCGCGTGTAGTTTCTTCTCCATGCGCTGGGGGTGTGTCCAGTAGGGTGCTGGAGGAGAGGGTGGGGAGGGAGTACGTACAGCTCCCAGGATGACCACCTGTTCCCACATGTCTCTTCCGGTTCATCAGTGACCAGGTGGGTCATGGGGACAGGAGTCCTTGAGAACTCATACTGACCTTGCTGGGGGTAAGTGTGCCCATTTTGGGTTTTGGGGTCCTCATTATCATTGCTGGAGGTCAAGGAGTCTAGGTCAGGACAGAGGGCAGTGGCGCCTGAGGTCCAAGATGGGGAGGTCTCTCTCCCCAGGCATCCTATAACCCCCTGCCAGACTCTCTTACCATCTACAACCAAGGTGAGGTTGTGCAGGACAATCATGGAGCCTCGTGCCAGGCAGAGGTAGTGGCCAGCATCCTCAGGTAGGAAGCTGGCAATCTCCAGGCGGCCCCTCCAGCCCCGTACCCGGCCGGCAGGTGCCAGGCGACTGCCCTCCTTGTACCAGTGGCCACCACGCTCAGCCCGCCCACAGCACAGCCGCACAGGCTGCCCGAGGGCCACAGTCAGCTCCTGCTCTTGCTGTTCCAGGCTGGGAGCCAGGCAGGGCTCTGCGGGTAGAAGGCGCAGGTCAGCGAGCTCTGCAGCAGCCTCCGAGGCAGCCTCTGCACACGGAGAGCATGCTGCACACACGGGGCACGGGCACCTTGAGACACATGCTAGGCAAGCCGCTGCTCCTCGATGAACGCACAGCTACATGCTGCAGATGCTACACGCAGGGCAAATGCCACATTCTTAGAGCATGTCACACACACAGTACCGAGTGCACGTGCCATTGCCCAAGACACACACACACACACACACACACATGCTACATACAGGTGCCACATACAGGGCACACACCACACGCCTCTGGGGCACGTCTCACTCATAGTGCAACTACCACGTATGCTGCCTGGACCTCCCGAGTCACACTCCCAGTGAACAGAGCACACACACCCGACACGCAGCCGCACGGCCAGGGGGCTCACCACCAGCTCTGCGCCCAGCTCAGGGCCTGGGCCTTGCAAGGCCAGTGCTCTTTCGGAGACACAGAGACAGATGGATGCTGCCGGGAGCCGCACACCGATCGGGCCTCAACTGTCGGCCCCTGCCCTGCTGCCACCTTCTCAAGGTCTGGCCGGGATCCTTTCCAGCTCTGCTCAGACAGCAGCCCCTCCTGCTGCCCGCTCTTCCCACCCCTGCCGCCCTCTCCCACCTGAGAGGCCATACCCAGCTCCGCTTCCTCAGAGGCCTCAAGGGACAGGGCTGGAGCCCCAGGCACAACCAGGAGGACCCCCGGCAGGGCCAGCAGCAGCCACATCGCCTTCCTGCAGCTCTCGGGGACCGGGCTGGACTTCCCACCGACTGCCTTCCTAAGACAGGGAGGGCAAGAGCTCCTGCTACGTGCGCCCCTCCGCTGGTGCTCTTCCCTTACTCTGCAGAGGAGGAGACAGAGACAGGCGGTGGTAAGCGGACTTGTCCGGGTCCCCGGCCAGGCAGCGGCGGGGCAGAGACTGGAACCAGCTCTGCTGTTGCCAGAGTCCAAGGCCTCCCCACAGTAGGTTGTGCAAGGGGGCTGGGCCGGGCTTCCTGCTCTCCATGGGTCCTGCTGAGACCCTGGCACAATTTCACAGAAAGAGCAGTTTTGGGATTCTTTTCTTGGGGGAAAGCAGAGAAGGGAGACGTATCTTCTGCTCACTCTTGGCACACATAATTTATTTTTTGCTGAGTAAATGAATTTATTGCTGAAGAGCCCCCCCCCAAAAAAATAGTGAAGCATAATACAAGGCCAAACTTCAGCATCTGGATGTTATCTGGCCTGACCCCGGCCCTTATGGCACCGCTGACATTTCCAGGAGCCAGGCGCCCACAACAACAAGACAGCCCTTCCTCATTCGGAACTGGAACTGCATTCCCCAGCTACCTCTGCTATCTGTGCCCCTACGACTCCATCTGAGGCAACACAGGGCTTTGCAAAGAATGCAGACTCTTAAGTATGAGACAGAGCTAGTTCAAATCCTGACTCTCACCAACCTGCGAATCCCTCTGCCCCTCTCTGGGCTACTACTCTCCTCACAGGGCTGCTTTGGTTCAGGGCTGCCCCGGCCAGGTGTGATACACACACACGCCCCCAGCCGGTTACCCTCTTCCAAATGCCACCGGCGATGTCTCTGTCCCTCAGAATGGAACACTCAGAACTGAGCCTCAGGCGGGGCAGAGGGACAGGGGGCCAGTGTAGTCCCAGGGCCTACTGGCTGTTACCTGGGGTTGTGTAACAGCCAGGTGGCACTGGTGTCTCTGGAACGACCCTGCCTGGGAAGCCCACCGTACCCCTCTCCTCAGCCACGCCACCCCACTTCCAGTCCATCCAGCCTCCCCGGCCCCCACCAGGAAGGTCATGGTCATCTCTTGCTTGGGCCTTTGCAAACATCTCCCTGAGCTCTTCAGCCTCCACCCCCCAGTGGGACCGTGTCACCCCCAGCCTTCCTTAATGGCTGCCTGTGTCCAGCAGGATCCAGTCCACACTGTCTCTCCAGCCTCCTAGGCCTCCCTTTCTGCCCTGGCCAATCTCTTTGGTCACCCTGTCTGCCCCTTCAGGAGCCACTGGCTTTCAAAACTGGGCACATGTGCTCTTGCCCGTACCTCTGTACCCCTCAATCCTCTCCTCCACTTGGCCCGGATAGATACCACTGTCTCTGAGCCCACCCCAGTTGCCAAGTTCCGTTGACCTCTTCTCTATCTCCCCTGCTCTGCAGGGAGGGTGGCTCTTGGGGGACACAGCAGGGTGGGGAGACCCAGGGTTCCGTTCCCACCCTCCGGCTGCCCTGACCTCACAACCTCAGAGTCCTTAGTCGGATCACCCGTGGCGGCGACCGCTAAAGAGACCACCCGGCACGTGGGGCTGAAGGGCCTGGCTCTGGCATCAGACAGTCCCGGGTGCCCCTCCAGCCTCCTGCTCGCACGCGCGCGCGGGAGGGCGCTGGGCAAGGGACTGCCCGTCTCGGGGCCTCCGCTCCCCGTCTCGACGCCGGTGCGCAGAGGCGCGGCTGCTCAGCACGAGCGCGCTCTGCCTCCCCCACCCTGCAGGGTCGGCCCGGGAGGTGCGAGTCCCCCGGGGCAGCCGCGCAGGCCGCCGGCCCGCCCCCGCCGCGGTGGGCAATGAGTAACCAGCTCCGCGGCCAGGGTGCTCTTTGGACGGAGCCGGACAAAAGGCCCTGTGTGCGCTGCGGGTTACTGATTTACCGCCCCCGCCCCCGCCGCCCGGCGGACGCCCAGCGGACGCCCGGGTCCCCAGGGTCGCGAGCGGCAGCCCGGAGCCTCGTCGCCGCTGGGAGCGCAGCCTGGGACTCACCTCCAGCCTGGGCGGCTCTGCTCCCGGCACAGCGTCCCGGCTCGCCCGGCCCCGCGGCCGCCCGGCCCCCAGCCCCAGCCGGCCACCACGGGGTCCCGCTGCGCCCCGCGGGCTCCGCAGACTCGGCCCCAGCGCTCCTCCGCCCGCGGCGGCAGAGCCACGAAAGTGCCCGCGCCCGCGGCGTGGCCCGCGGGCGGCCAGCTCCCGCCCCGCCCACCTCGGGCGCAACCACGCCCACCTCTGGACAGCCGGGCCCACCTCGGGCTCAGCCCCGCCCCTCGGTCCCCGCCCCGCCCACCTCGGGCCCAGCCCGGCCCCCTTGGGCCAGCCCCGCCCACCTCGGGCCCAGCCCCGCCCACCTCGGGCGCAACCACGCCCACCTCTGGACAGCCCGGCCCACCTCGGGCTCAGCCCCGCCCCTCGGTCCCCGCCCCGCCCACCTCGGGCCCAGCCCGGCCCCCTCGGGCCAGCCCCGCCCACCTCGGGCCCAGCCCTGCCGGGACCATGCACCCGAGGGGGCGTGGCCAGGGCCGCCCAGAGCCCCGCCCCCGAGGAGCCCCGCCCTTGGACCAGCGACACGCCCCTCGGGCCCGCCCCTTTCGCCCCACCCAGGCCCCAGGCGGGGCGTCCGAGCCCCAGTGACCACCTTGCCGCGTCCCCGCTCTTCGCCTCCCGGGGACCGGCTCCTTGGCCCGGCCGGCTCCGCGCAGGCCTCGCGCGGCAGAGCCCCTTCCCTCGTTCGTTCTCTGTGCGGCCTTCGGAGTGGTACTTGACACACAAATCCGGGCCGGGCGCGGCGGCTCCCGCCTGTCATCCTAGCTCTCTGGGAGCACTGCTTGAGGTCAGGAGTTCGAGACCAGCCTGAGCAAGAGCGAGACCCCGTCTCTACTATAAATAGAAAGAAATTAATTGGCCAACTAATATATATAGAAAAAATTAGCCGGGCATGGAGGCGCATGCCTGTAGTCCCAGCTACTCGGGAGGCTGAGGCAGGAGGATCGCTTGAGCCCAGGAGTTTGAGGTTGCTGTGAGCTAGGCTGACGCCACGGCACTCACTCTAGCCCGGGCAACAGAGTGAGACTCTGTCTCAAAAAAATAAAATAAAAAATAAAATACAAATCCGACCACCCTTTAAATTTTCCAACAGCCTCTCTATAATACAGATGTTTGGCATGACCTGGTCCCCGCCCAGGTCTCCAGATGAAAAACCTTCATTCACTGTTTCCGCGCTTCCGCCCTGTGCCTGGGCCTCTGCACGTGCCAGTGTCACGTCCTAGAATGCCCTTTCTCCGTTTGGTCTGGCCAATTCCATCGTGTTAGGCCCAGCTCACTTCCTCCAGGAAGCTCTCTGGACTCGCCAGCTTCCCCTTGGAGACCCTTCTCTCCCACGAGGATGGAGCGAAGTGGGTCAGAGCACAGATTACAGGGCTGAAGGGCATGGGCTCAAATCTCAGCACCATCGCACAGGGCCTCGGCAGGCTACTCCATCTCTGTCTTCATTTTCTTGTCAGTAATATGGGTAAATGAGAGCATGACCCGCAAAAGGCTGTTTGCAAAGAGTAGACATAGTACCATGCATAAGGCTGGCGAATAGCGTTTGCTTTGTCCTACTAGCTATGATTATTTAGGACCCATTATTTCTTCATCACATTTGCTGGGATTGTAACTGGCAATTATGTAAATAGTTGTGAAATGGCCAGCAAGGTAGCCTGCGCCTGTAGTCCCAGCTGCTGAGAGGCTGAGGCTGGAGGATCGCTTGAGCTCAGGAGTTCCAGACCAGCCTGGGCAACACAGTGTGACTCTGTCTCTCTTAAAAAAAAAAAAAAAATAGGCCGGGCGCGGTGGCTCACGCCTGTAATCCTAGCACTCTGGGAGGCCAAGGCGGGTGGATTGCTCGAGGTCAGGAGTTCAAAACCAGCCTGAGGCAAGAGGAGACCCGTCCTAAATAAAACAGGAAAGAAATTAATTGGCCAACTAACCTATATAGAAAAAAAAAATTAGCCGGGTGTGGTGTCACATGCCTGTAGTCCCAGCTACTGGGGAGGCTGAGGCACAGGATGCTTGAGCCCAGGAGTTTGAGGTTGCTGCTGTGAGCTAGGCTGACACCACGGCACTCACTCTAGCCTGGGCAACAAAGCGAGACTGTCTCCAAAAAAAAAAAAATTGTAAAATGTTAAGGTCCTGGAAGGCAGGAACTATGCCCACAGACCTCACCATTATATCTTAAGTATGTGGCACACAGTAGGTGCCCCCAGACAGCTGTGCTCCCACCTGGCTCAGGTGGCCCTCACCTGTAAACATTTCTCTCCTGAGCATCTAGCCTGTAGCCACACCAGGGGCCAACCAGTCTCTGCCCCCCACCTCCCACCGGAATTTCAAGCCCGCTGCTCTCCCAAGGCTCCCAGCGAGCTTGGGTGTCAGGCTCAGCTCCCGCTTGTCCCTCTAGGGTACGGAGACCTTCACCTAAGAAGCAACTTCCTTTCCCATTGTTATGCCGGGAATCTAGCTTTTCCACTCTCACTCCCAAAGGGCCGAAAGGGCCGGTGGCATTTCTTTACATAACTAAAAGGCCTATTCAAGAGATTTGGTTTTTTAAATTTTTCTTTTCCTTCTCAAACAAAAGAATGGCCTTCTCCTAAAGATGAATCGGAAAATAATTGATTATTTTCTAAAAAGGGTTTGTCCCTTCTCCAGGGTCTCACCTTGCGGGAGCTCCCAGGAAGGAAGAAGCTCCCGGCCCTGGGAGCTGCCTGCCTGCCCAGAGGGGGCTGCCTCCGGCTGGGCTGGGCTCCCCGCCTCGGCCCTCTGCTGGCTCCAGAGCGCGCAGGCTTCCATTCCACTTCCAGGGCATTTCCTGCCCTCGCCTGAGCCAAAGGCAAACCGAAGGCTTTCATAGCCCCGGTCTTGCAACCTCCTTGTCTCCTGGGATGTCCAAACCCCTCAGACCGGCAGTCCCTCACATCCCCAGGGGATGCTCCCCACATCCCTCCCACGCGCACAACCTCCCACGCTGACCCTTGGCAGGGGCCGATGCTCTCTCACAAAGTCATTCGTTCATTCACTCATTCATTTGACGAGTATTTATTAGAGGTGCGTTACGTGGCATGCAACTGTTCCAAATCCTGGGGATAAAGCAGCGAATTGGGCCTTACCTCTGCCCTGCAGGGAGCTGCCGGCATTCTAGCGGGAGAGGCAGATATGCAAACAGCGACAGGAGACCCGCTGAGGGAGCCAGGGAGGGCACCCAGCCTCTCTCACTGTCCCCGCTCGCTTGCTAACCTACAGTCACATCTGCAGCCTCTGTCTCGTAGACAAACACTCAAACACGCTTCCTCTCTCTTAGCAGAGGTGAGAGCCTGCCATCCTAAGATCTTGCCTCTGCCTCAGTTTCTCCACCCAGAAAACAGCACACTCTTGCTTCTTTCTTCTCAGGAGTGTTGGGGGAAAAGAACGAGCTAACAGGCAGGGATGGGTGTCACTAGAACAGGAGGCAGGGGAGAAGTCCTGGCCTTGGCTGAGCGCTCGCCCGCCGTGTGTCAGGTGCGTGCTAGGTGTTGTGCGTGCGCTATGCCCTTTGATTCTTCCACCAAGCCAAATGGCACAGGCATCCTCCGCTCTGGTCTGCAGGCAAGGAGACTTCAAGCTCGGGGGCATGGAATGACTTCTCTGAGGTCATCCGGAAAGCGAATGGCAGAACTCAAACCCTCGTCTTTGGGGGCAAAGAGGGAAAGTGCAGAGCTGGATCGCTGAGGCTGCCACCACGCTAGCCGCTCTGGCCTCCGTCCTTCACTGTGGCCCCAAGGTGAGTGTGTGGGGAGGGGGTGTGGGGCCGTGCGGGGTCCTGCCTTCCCTGCCCCTCTGGCCAGTACTGATGGTCCCCCCACGAGGCAGCAGAACCTCGGCAGGGGTTTGCAGACTCTCAGCTCCAACAGCGCCAGGAGGATCTCCTGAGGCCAGGCCCCACTCCCCACCTGCCTGGGAGCAGAGCTGCCTGGTGCCAGCGGTGTTGCTCTTGGCCGGCGGCCGGCCAGGGAACACTGGGCTCTTGTGTGGAAGGGCTGCCGGGGAGCCAGCCCGGCCCCTGCCCAGGCCCCGCTCCGGCCCTGCCTCTGGCCGCACCCTCTGACCCATCCTGGTCTTTCTTCTTTCCTTCATTTCTTTATCTTTTAAACAGTTTTTATTTTGAGAAAGTTTTTAAAATATAGCTGCTGCTCATAATTGACAATTGTTATTAATTTGCCATTTTTTTTTCCCAGCCCCTCTCTCCCTGGCTTCTTCCCCAGGCTCTGGGGAGCTTCGGCTTGGCTGTTGGGGACAGAGGTGGCATGGACAGCGGTGGAGCGGGTAGGGGCGGGTGGCAGAGTCAGGCGGAGCTGGGCTCGAATCCTGAAGAGTAACTGGCTTTGTAACCTCGGACGAGTCACTTAACTCTCAGGCCTCAGTTTCATTTCCTGTGAAATGGGAACAATACCTCTGCGCAGACTCAGTGCGATGGTACTGGTACGTGGGGCAGCACCACGCCAATGCCTGGCGGAAAGCCGCAAAGCGAATGCTAGCGCCTGCGGGCGCAGGAGCCACCCAGAAGCACGGGCAGCACACTCCTGTGACCGAGGGAAGGAGCATGGGGTGAGCCCTTCCCCAGCCCTCTTACCCCATTTCCCACCCGTCCCTGGTTCTGGGCACACGTCCGTGCAACGTGTGCTCTGGAGACAAACACGCCGCGAGCCGCAGGCTGCCCAGCGCGCGTCTGTGGAGGCAGGGAGCCTGGGGCTGGTGTCGGCGCCCGGAGGGCTCTGCAGAAGCTCCTCAGACCGAGACGCACGGAGGAGAGTGGGCTAGGAGGGGTCGGAGGCATTATCTGGACTAGTCCCCGTGCTTCTCAGAGGGTCAGCAGCGCCCCCAGTCCCCTCAGCCCCTGGTCCCAGATACTACAGATCTGTGTCCTGGCTAGCTAGGACAGGAGACATCCGGGAGCTTGCCAGACTCCGCTCTCTCCAGCCTCGGGCCTACGGACCTCACTCCCACTGGGTGCGGGCACGCCCACTTGTTTGGAGGAGGGCAGGCCAGCCGGAAAGTGGCAAGGCTGGGCAGGAAGGGTTAGAGGGTTGACGGTCTACAGGGAAGCAGGAAACAGACCTAGAGGGGCCTGCGCCCTGCTGTACTTTGCCTGGTGCCCACCTGGACCACGGAGTGTTTTGTTTGTGGGCAACAGAAAACCTAAATGACAAAGGCTTAACACAAAGCAAAACAGGGTTTATTCATCTCTCACTTAGCCCCAATCCTCGAGGTGGGTTCTCAAGTCAGGCTTTAGGGCTCTTCGATCTCTAGACTTTTCTCTCATGGTTGCAAGATGGTGGCCTCAGCTCCTGCCATCACATCTGTGCTCAGGCAGAAGAAAGAAGTTACAGAGTTGAGTTTGCACCCAGCGACTTCTGATTTTTGTCTGCTTGGCCAGACTGTGACTCCCGGCTTCCCCTAGCTGCAGAGCAGTCTGGGAAGTACAGTAGTCCTTGTGCTGGACACATTGCCTCCCTGCCCAGACCAGGGTCTGTCGAAAAGAAGGGTGACTGAGTACTGGAGAAGCACCTAACAGTCTCCACATCACCCATTTCCTCATCAGCCCTCCAGTGACTTCTTTAAAATAAGGATCTAAGCAAGTCGCTCCTACAAATACTCTTCCCCCCAACACCACTGGCACCCCCAGCTCCTAGGTCTGACATTCGGGGGCTTAGAGGACTGGCCTCTGTCCCCCGTCTCATCTCCACTCTCCCCAGAGACACCTGCTGTGTTCTAGCTGCCCCGAGCTCCAGGGAGGCCCCTGCAAAGTGCCCTTGCGCATGCTGCTCTTGCTGCCCCACGTCCTCCCTGTCCTGCCCACCCCACCCTCCCAGCTGCCCCACCAGGTGCCTGCCATTCAGCTTTCTGGACTCCTCTCAGGGCATTCCCTTTTCTTTAAGACCCTTCCTCAAAACAAAACAAACATAATCAAGGTCCTATTCCAGGAACCAGGGACCCTGTGCGATGATTAAGACATAAGACCAAGTTCCTGCCCTCAAAGAGCTTTTAGTCTGAAAAAGAAGACAGGAAATTGTACAGGAACTATACTATAGGTCACCATGACAGAGTATATCAGGGGCAATGCTAGAGGGAAACACAGGGCACCTGGGAACACAGAAGGACAGCCCTGCAGGTCATTGATCTCAGGATTACGGAGGTCCCTGGGTTGATAAGGGGAACTAGAGCAAGTATTAGGCAGAACTCTTGGTTGTAAGTGATAGAAACCCAACTCAAACTGACTTAAGGTTAAAAGTCATAACTAAAAAGTCCTGGGGATATTAGCTTCAGGTATGGCTGGATCCAGGTACTCATCAGAAATCAGTCTCTTCTCATCTCTCGGCTGTTTTTTTTTTTTTTTTTTCTGTATTGGCTTAATTCTCAAGCAGACTGTCCTTACCTGTGGGCACAGATGGCCACTAACAGCTCCAGTCTTACGATTCTGATTGTTCAGGCTGGGTCACAGGCTCACCCCTGAATCAGGAAGCAGGGGTCAGTCCCTCAGAACTACAGGGTCTAAAATGGAGCAGATGTTACTGAAAGGAAAAAAGCAAAAGGGTGCAGAGCAGTCCAGACATCAGGTGTGCTCCCAGGAAGGTGACTAAATTACAGCCCTCGAAGACAGAGGTGTCCCTGAGGAAAATGTCCCAAGCAAGAGAAGAGCAAGGCGGCCTTGGGAAACAGACAGAAGTGCTAGGAAAGAATTGGGAGCCTGGGCTCAAACCTCTCCAAGGTTACTTCTGTGTTGTGTAGGCTCTGCAAGACTGCGCCCCTGTGATTCTCCAGTGAAATTTGTGGAATCGAGCCATTTCCAGTTGTCTCGAGAGTTAAGTGAAGCATTAAGTCCAGGAGCTCACAAAAAGCCGCCTTATTTTCTTCGGCATTAAGTCAAACAGTAGGGTCCTGGGGTTGGTCTACCACGCCAGCCTAAAGGAGCGTTCTCCACCTAGTGGCCACTGGGGTCATTGCGCTGCAGGGTTGACCCATTTCCAGAGCCGTCAGGTTTCTTCTGCATTTTGAGGTTCCTAGACAGGTGAAGCAGCACACATGGACAGTGAGCTTGGTAGTGCCAGGCCAGGGACGTGTCTGTCTGGTTTCTGTAATGTGGGCTTGGCACGGGGCAGAGCAGGTGAGGCTGTTAGGTGGATGAATGGACGGCAGGCAGGAGAGTGTTTTTCCTATTATATGTGACACTAGTGACTGCCCATCAGAGGTTCTGGATGGGCGTGGGAACCACTTATCTGGCACGGTCTGCTGTGAGGGAAAGGCTTTATTCTTTTTTTTTTTTTTTAAAGAGACAGGGTCTTGGCCAGGCGCAATGGCTCACACCTGTCATCCTAGCACTCGGGGGAGGAGGTTGAGGCAAGAGGATGGCTTGAGGTCAGGAGTTTGAGGTTGCCATGAGCTGGGATGATGCCAAGGCACTCTAACCCGGGTGACAAGCGAAACTCTTGTCTCAAAAAAAAAAAAAAAGGCCGGGCGCGGTGGCTCAAGCCTGTAATCCTAGCACTCTGGGAGGCCGAGACGGGCGGATTGCTCGAGGTCAGGAGTTCGAAACCAGCCTGAGCAGGAGCAAGACCCCGTCTCTACTATAAATAGAAAGAAATTAATTGGCCAACTAATATATATATATAAAATTAGCCGGGCGTGGTGGCGCATGCCTGTAGTCCCAGCTACTCGGGAGGCTGAGGCAGCAGGATCGCTTGAGCCCAGGAGTTTGAGGTTGCTGTGAGCTAGGCTGACGCCACGGCACTCACTCTAGCCTGTGCAACAAAGCGAGACTCTGTCTCAAAAAAAAAAAAAAAAAAAAAGAGATAGGGTCTTACTATGTTGCCCAGGCTGGCCTTGAAATCCTGGGCTCAAGTGATCCTCCTGCCTGAGCCTCCCGAGTAGCTGGGACTATAGGTACGAGCCACCGTGCTCGCTTAGGGATTTCTTCTTTATCTACTTTGGGAGGAACCCCTGACTGCCCATCGGCACTTGTTTAGGACAACAGCTGAGAACTGTTTTCTTCCAACTTCCACCTCGCAGAGAGAATCAAAGCCCCACGTCACAGGAAGCAGTGGTGGTGCTCAGACCAATAGTCAGGACTCCTGAACTGAGGCCAGGCCCCTCACATTATCCCCACGGCTGCTATATGGGTACGTGCCTAGACCTGTGTCTGCCTAGGGGGTTACTGTATCCCAAACACCTGCTTTGCATCCAGCTCCAGGCTAAAAGAATGCTTCCATTTCGTCTGGATTCCATTTCATGTATGATTCCATTTCTTCTCCCCACTGGCCGCAAAGCCTGGGGGCCTGGGATGAGCAGGGGCTCTCCAGCAGTGCAAGGGGAACCCCGGGGAGAGCCGCCTTTGGCCAATATCTTGCCTTCTTTGTCCCCTCAGTCAGACTGAATTAGGTTTCTGGCACTTCATAAATCACTGAATCTTAATGCGGGGCTATGCCAGATGCTGCCTGCTGTGGCCTTACCTCCCCAGTGCGGCCGGGGCTCACCTTAGGCCAGCAACAGAAACAGCAGCAGTAGCTATCATTTACACAGCACTTATCGTGTGTCAAGCACAATAATCATTTCATGTCAGTCTATTGTTTTTTCTTTGAGACCAAGTCTCGCTTTGTTGCCCAGGCTAGAGTGAGTGCCGTGGTGTCAGCCTAGCTCACAGCAACCTCAGACTCCTAGGCTCAAGCGATACTACTGCCTCATCCCCAGTAGCTGGGACTACAGGCATCTGCCACCATGCCTGGCTAAGTTTTTCTATATATATTAGTTGGCCAATTAATTTCTTTCTATTTATAGTAGAGACGGGGTCTCGCTCTTGCTCAGGCTGGTTTCGAACTCCTGACCTCGAGCAATCCGCCTGCCTCGGCCTCCCAGAGTGCTAGAATTACAGGCGTGAGCCACTGCGCCCGGCCTCTGACTAATTTTTCCTATTTTTAGTAGAGATGGGGTCTCGATCTTGCTCAGGCTGGTCTCAAACTCCTGACCTCAAGTGATACTCCTGCCTCGGCCTCCCAGAGTGCTAGGACTACAAGTGTGAGCCAAAGCACCAGGCCACTACCTATTCTTGTAATTTTCATAATAACCCTATGAGGTAGGTACTAATGTTTCACCCTCAGGTAGAGATTAACTAACCAAGATCACACAGCTCTGCAATGACAGAAGTGGGATCTGAACTCAGAACGTGAGTTCTTTGCCACTAGACTAGACTGTCTCTTCAGGGCTGATGGCTCTGAGATCTTCTTTGGCCACTAAAGCCATGGGCTGGAGCTCCCCCTGATGTTTACCTGCTATATTGCAGTCCTGCGCACTGACCTCGGGTACCATGTTGGGCTACAGAAATTCAAACCTGGTCTCAGGGGCCAGCACGGTGGCTCACGCCTGTAATCCTAGCATTCTGGGAGGCCGAGGAGGGTGGATTGCTCAAGGTCTGGAGTTCGAAACCAGCCTGAGCAAGACTCCATCTCTACTAAAAATAGAAAGAAATTAATTGGCCAACTATTATATACAGGAAAAATTAGCCGGGCATGGTGGCACATGCCTGTAGTCCCAGCTACTAGGGAGGCTGAGGCAGGAGGATCGCTTGAGCCCATGAATTTGAGGTTGCTGTGATTGTGAGCTAGGCTGGCGCCATGGCACTCACTTTAGCCTGGGCAACAAAGTGAGACTCTGTCTCAAAAAAAACAAAACAAAAAAAAACAAACCTGGTCTTAGGGGTACTAAGAGTAAGAGAGTCTTGATTTGAAGTCAGGAATTCTGGATTCAAATTGCTACAAGAATGACCAAAATTAAAAAGACCAATCATGCCAAGTGCTAACAAGGATGTGGAGAAAGTGGAACTCTCATACATTGCAGGTGGGAATGTAAGTTGGTAGAACCACTTTGGAAAACCACTTGGCAGTATCTAGACAAGCTGAACATACACCTACTCTATGATTCCACTCATGAGTATATGAGTGCACATGCGCATCAAATGGCATGTACAGAATTTTTCACAGAAGTTTTATTTATAATTGCTCCAAACTGGAAAAAACCCAATTGTCCATCAATAGTAGAATGGATAGGCTGGGTGCAGTGGCTTGCACCTGTAATCCTAGCACTCTGGGAGGCTGAGCCAGGAGGATCACTTGAGGTCAGGAAATTGAGACCAACCTGAGCAAAAGCAAGACACCCGTCTTTACAAAAGATAGAAAAATTAGCCAGACGTGAATGCGTGTGCTTGTAGTCCCAGCTACTTGGGAGGCTGAGGCGGGAGGATCACTTGAGCCCAGGAGTTGGAGGCTGTAGTGAACTATGATGACATCACTGCCACACTAGTCCAGGTGACAGAGGGAGACTGTCTCAAACAAACAAACAGTAGAATAGCTAAATTGTGGTACATTCAAATAATGGATCATTATGCAGCCTGAAAGAACATGAACCTCTGATACATACAATAACATAGATGAATCTCACAGATGTAATATTGTACAAAAGAGGAGGTATGTATAATTCCACGTTCATAAAATTCAACAGCAAAAAAAAGAAATCTATCATGACAAAGGTCAAAAAAGTGATACTTCTGGGGGATACTGACAAGGGAGAGGAAGAATGGAACCTTCTGGGGAGCTGGCAGTGCTCTGTATCTTGATCTGGAGGGTGTGTGCCCCAATCAATGTGTATGTATCTGTAAGGATTCATCCAATTGAACTCTAAAGATTGGTATGTATTACCAAATGTATGTACGTTGCACCTCAAAAAGTTAGCGAAGAAAAGGAAATGGGTAAGTAAAAACAATATCTGTCCACATGGGTATGGTGGACAATCACTGGTTTTGCTCCACCGTTCCCTGCAACCAGTAGGAGTCCCCCAATTGGGGTCATATCTCTCCCTTTTTCTCAGTGTTTTTTGGGTGGAGCTTATGCCCTCCCGACCCTTAGGCACTCGACCCAGGCTCCAAATCAGAGTGCTGTCCCGCCCCTTGCCACAGGGCTGGTGGAGGGATGGGAATAGGGCCAAACTGGCTAGTGAAGTCAACCCCAGAACTTTTGCTGGAACTGGTGGATAAAGATCTTCTTCCCACTGTGGTTGCTCATGTCTCAGGATAGAGGCCTGGAGCTGCCCAGGGCTCTCTCCTCGCCTCTTGGAGAGAGCTTGCCTGAGAGTGAGATCACAGGCAAAAGCAGAAAGAGACGTTACTCCTGACGACGCTGTCTCAGAACCTGAATCCAGCTGTTGTTGCCTTTGAATTTTTCATTAGGTAAATCAATAATTTCTCATTTTAGGCAAACCACTTTGATTTTTTTTTTTTTTTGAGACACAGTCTCGCTTTGTTGCCCAGGCTAGAGTGAGTGCCGTGGCGTCAGCCTAGCTCACAGCAACCTCAATCTCCTGGGCTCAAGCGATCCTCCTGCCTCAGCCTCCCGAGTAGCTGGGACTACAGGCATGCGCCACCATGCCCGGCTAATTTTTTCTATATATATTAGTAGGCCGGTTAATTAATTTCTATTTATAGTAGAGATGGGGTCTCGCTCTTGCTCAGGCTGGTTTCGAACTCCTGACCTCGAGCGATCCGCCCGCCTTGGCCTCCCAGAGTGCTGGGATTACAGGCATGAGCCACCACACTGGGCCCTTGATTTTTTTTTTTTTAAAGAGACAGGCTCTTGCTCTGTTGCCCAGGCTGGAATGCAGTGGTATGATCACAGCTCACTTGCAACCTTGAACTCCTGGGCTCGAAAGATCCTTCTACCTCAGACTCCTGAGTAGCTGGGACTACAGGTGTGCACCACCCTGACTGGCCGTAACAAACTCCTTTCTTAGCTGATTTCTGCGCCATGGAAAAGGCTCTTCCAAGAAGTAGCAGGCTTATGGTAAGTCCCATGGAACAAACCACTGCTGAGTTAGAGCTCAGGAGGAAAAGGCCATCTCTCCTTACATGTTCATTCCCTTACACATTCACTCAACAAACACTTTATGACACACCACTCTGGGCAGTAGAGAAGTGGAGATGAGTAAGGCTGGGTCTCTGCCTGAACGGATTAGCCTGGAGAGAGCCACATGGATGCCACACTGGCCTCCACACTGGCCTGTCTCATTTCCTGCTCCCTGCCTGCATTCCTTCACACAGCAGCCAGAATGAGTCTCTCAAACACAAAGCAGATCCCCAGCTTACACCCTCCGAAGACCTCCACGAGGCCCTGTGTGATGAGGGGAGGTGGATGAGCAGATGAGGCTGTGTGGAGTTTAGGGCACTTGGGAGAGTTTCACAGGGTTGCCTAGCAATCTGGATGTCTGACTCTGTCCCCGCTCCTAAGATTAGTACTGAGGACCCGAGGGTCTGAGTGGGGTGGGGCTGAGCAGTTAAGACAGACGTACTAGATCCAATGGCAACACGGCCCCAGGTCTGTTAAGTTGCAGACTGGCTCGTGGGAGAAATTCTTTATTTGGATGCTTCAGTGACCACGAAACAGAGCATAAGCACACACACGCACGCACACACACAATACGTAAAGGCATCGCAAGGTGAGGGGATGGGGAGTAGGGGAAGGAGGCCATGAGAGCAGCTAGGGGCTTCTTTGACCCAATGAAGAGGAGCCTCTGATGGTGACACTCCCTGGAATTCTTGCTTGAAACTACAAGGAAAAATCCACTCCCAGTGAAGTCCCAGGCTGTAAGACGTAGCTGAATTAGAGAACTCTGGGTTTGGGGCCTTGGGAACATCTGTTTTCTCAATGTAGAAACCTGTATCAGCTCGCCATTTCTTTCCCTGGGATACCATCCAGCTCCCTGGTACTGAGGAATCATCTGTTGGATGATGGGAAGAAGCTAGCACCATAGCAGCCTGGGCAGGGCGGTCTGCTGCACGAGGAGGAGAGGACCGGCAGGGCTGAGGGGCAGCAATGAACCTTGCAGGAGGCAGCTTGCCTTGAGGTGCACAGAAGCCTCAAGGGAGCTTGCATGTGGGGGACTTTCCCACACGACCTTGGGTCAGAGCACCCCTGGTGGAGAAGGGGAAAGGGACCATTCCCACTGGAGCTTCCTATGACCCTGCTGGGCACTGAGGCCAGCTCCGGTTCCAGCGTGTGCCCAGATGCTGCAGACCCTTAGCACCATTCAGGAACTATGGAGAAGGGGCAGAAGGGATAGGAACGCCCGGCCAGGACTGTGTCATTGCTCCAGAAGGGAACTCCACAGTTGGCAGAAACCTGTACAACTGGCCAGCATATTGTCCAAGGCTCAGGAAAGCCTGTACTTTCTTGGGGGAGGGGTAGTGTCACATCAGCTCCAAACTCCCATGTGGCAGCCACTTCCATCTACTATTTCCCACCCTGGCCCAAGTCTGGCGTGAAAGCTCCGGGTTTCACTAGAGATGCCTAGAGCCCAGGGAGAGCTCTGCTCTTAGCTGCAGGAACTGGCCCCAAACTGACTTTCAGAGGAAAGACAGGTGCTGGGACCTCACCACATACTGCCCAGAGGGGCTGGGGAAAGGGGAAAGCTATCCTCCAAACTGCCACCCCGTGAGACCCCCAAGTCCTTTCGAGGACCCTATCTTTCTTCCCTGTCATGACCTACAGGGCCCACACCACAGGGGAGGAGCAGAAGTAAATTAGCCTGGACCAATCAGAGGCTGTCTGTGGCCCAATCTTGCCTCAGGCCTAAGTATTCTCCTGGTATAAGAAAGGAGGAAGAGGGAGCCAAGGGCTGACCAGTCGCAGGAAGCTGGTTCGTGGCTGGTCAAACAAGGGGTGCTGGGTAGAGACATCTCTAGTCTTCCAAGGAGGCTGACTCTTTCTGAAGGGGTTGCCTTTGCACTGGAATCTGGCCCAGGGACGATGCCGTTGTTTTTGGTGACCTATAATTTGAGAAGGAACAAAGGCACAGGGTCAGTGTGTGGCATGGTTGTAATGGCACCCCAAGTAGCTTATTCTAACAGTAGCATGGCTCTTCCAGGCCCTTGGCGTAACAAAGCAGGGCAGCTTTCCCCTCTGAGGCCCGCTCATCCCATTCCATCCTCATGTGAATCCTGCAAGGTGAGCAGTCACACCCACATTTTACAGACAAGGAAATTAAAGCTCAGAACGTTTAGGTGGCTGGCCCAAAGTAAATATTTTTTTTTTTTTTTTTTTTTTTTTGAGACAGAGTCTCACTTTGTTGCCCAGGCTAGAGTGAGTGCCGTGGCATCAGCCTGGCTCACAGCAACCTCAATCTCCGGGGCTCAGCGATCCTACTGCCTCAGCCTCCCAATAGCTGGGACTACAGGCATGCGCCACCATGCCCGGCTAATTTTTTTGTATATATATTTTTAGTTGGTCAATTAATTTATTTCTATTTTTGGTAGAGACGGGGTCTCGCTCAGGCTGGTTTCGAACTCCTGACCTTGAGCAATCCGCCCGCCTCGGCCTCCCAAAGTGCTAGGATTACAGGCGTGAGCCACCATGCCCGGCCCCAAAGTAAATATTTTTTGAGACAAGGTCTTGCTGTATCGCTTGGGCTAGAGTGTGGTGGCGTCATCATAGCTCACTGCAACCTCGAAGTCCTAAGTTCAGGGGATCCTCCTGCCTCAGCCTCCTGAGTAGGTGGGACTACAGGTGCACACCACCACACTCAGCTAATTTTTCTATATTTTGACCTCTTGCTCAAGCTGGTCTCAAATGTCTGACCTCAAGTGATCCTCCCGCCTCAGCCTCTCAAAGTGGCAGGATTATAGGTGTGAGCCACCGTACCCAGCCCCAAAGTAAATTTTTTTTTGTTGTTGTTGTTGAGACAGGGTTTCCTTCTGTCACCCAGCCTGGAGTAGCAACATCATAGCTTACTGCAACCTCCAACTCCTGGCTCAAGCAATCCTCCTGCCTCAGCCTCCTGAGTAGCTGTGACTACAGGCACATGCCACCAGGCCCAGTTAATTTCTCTGTTTTTGGTGGAGGCGGGGTCTCACTATTGCCCAGGCTTGTTTTGAATCCCTTGCCTTAAGTGATCCTCCAACCTCAGCTTCCCAAAGTGCTAGGATTACAGGTGTAAGCCTGGCCCCAAAGTAAATTTTTAAGTGGTAGATTCAGGACTGCAGCCATGCCTTTCCACTATACCAACCAATTACTCTTCCCACAGGGCTCTGCACGAGCTCACTCTGTACCATTCTCACCCTCAAACTCAATCTGAAATGGCTGTCCTGTCACTGTCTAACCCACTGTCTGGATACCTAGCACCACCTGATTATTGTCCCATTTGTTTACAGATTTGTTTAGGATCTGCTTATTGGTGGCTTACTTGCTTAGTGTGTCTCTCCTACCAGACTGTAAAGTCAGGAGAGCAGGGACCAAGTCCTTCTCGGCCACCACTCAGGTGTTCAGTGCATGAAAGAACCTGTTCATATTTGGGAATGACCTATAGAGGGAACTCCTGCCACAGAACTGATGGCAGCAAAGGATAGGGTGGGTCTTCAGGCCAGAGGAAAAACTACTTCCTAGCTAGACTGCTGTATGTGTCAGGAAACCCGGGCACTCTCAGAGGACCACCAAGGAAATAACCTACGCTTCTCTACTAAAACTTTCAGCCCAGCAGGTCCACAGGGAGGGGAGACACTGGTGGAGAGAAACTTACAGAGGAGACACTTTTTCTTGTTAACTGTTTTACCTTCTTTCTGCTGAGTGAGAAAAAGGCTGCCAGAATTCCGTTTCAGCTGAGGACTACCTGACTTTGTTCTGACTTGGAAGCCCTGAGCTCCTGCCGCAGACCCTTGAATTTCAAAGCATAGTTACTCACTGGTTCTTGTGTTTGAAGCCGCTGACGTGAGCCTGGTACTGTTCTATGGAGTTCAGCACTATCTTACACGTCTTGCAGGGATAGCCCTTCCCAGCTGAAACACACATCAAATCAAGATCTTAGTTATTCCATGAGAAGGGACCTACTTTTCACAGAACGTACCAATGCCTTTCTGAGGACCAATGGGGGGGCAAGGCGACGTGGCTGTAGGAAGAATCCCAGAGGCCTCCGTGCCCAAGAGGCTGGGAACCTCCTCATTCTCTCCTGTGTCTCCAGTCCTAGCAGAGCCTGGCCCAGGCTGGGTAGCTTTTTTTTTTTTTTTTTGACACAGACTTTGTTGCCCAGACTGTGAGTGCCGTGGCGTCAGCCTAGCTCACAGCAACCTCAAACTCCTTGGCTCAAGCAATCCTCCTGCCTCAGCCTCCCAAGTAGCTGGGACTACAGGCATGTGCCACCATGCCTGGCTAATTTTTTCTCTTTCTATATTAGTTGGCCAATTAATTTCTTTCTATTTATAGTAGAGACGGGGTCTCGCTCTTGCTCAGGCTGGTTTCAAACTCCTGACCTCGAGCAATCCACCCGCCTCGGCCTCCCAGAGTGCTAGGATTATAGGCGTGAGCCACTGCGCCTGGCCCTGGCTGGCTGTTGAGTAAACAAATGAACGACATTTGGTGTAAATGTCTTTTCCACCCTGACTGTGCCAACTGGCCTCGTTAGGGATGCCCTTCACTGAAAGATCTCTGGGAAGGTGCCACTCTCCTAAGGCTTGTGATAACAGTAATTAATGAGAATGCCTGTTATGAAAATCAATCTGTCTTCCTACCTGGGGCTTAACAGACACCCTACCAGGGCTGCTCCAATGACAAAGTGGCCTTTCTCCACATGGTCTAATAGTGAGGAGCCGAGATATGGGGTTGGACTCCCGGCTCTGCCTTCGTGTGACTTTGGCTAAATCCCATCCCCTCTCTGATCGTGAGCTTTTCTCAACCCCAAACCAATTACACTACAACTTACAATCATAATACTTAATAGTTGCTATTTACCAAACGCCTCATACAGGCCACGTGTTTCATATACTTTTGTTTGCCCCTCATACTGATCCCATAAGAGTCACTGCAGTTGGCCGGGCGCGGTGGCTCACGCCTGTAATCCTAGCATTCTGGGAGGCCGAGACGGGTGGATTGTTTGAGCTCAGGAGTTCAAGACCAGCCTGAGCAAGAGCGAGACCCCCGTCTCTACTAAAAATAAAAAAATAAATTAATTAAAAAAAAAAAGAGTCACTGCTGCTGTTTTACAGATGAAGAAAATAAGGCAGTCACATGTCCAAGAACACAGAGTGAATAAGCAGCAAACTCAGGCTTGGATGACCACAAAGGGTGTATTTATTTTAGCATGCCAGGTGCTAGCTGTGCAAGACAAACAGCTACACACACCTTGAAGGGCCCTTCTGGCTCTGACACCTTGAGCCACCTGCCACCCTGAAGTCCCACAGCGCTGGAATAAGCTCACCTAGGTTCAACTCTCAGCTCTACCATTCCTTACCTGTGGGACTACAGACCAGTTACATAACCTCTCTGAGATTTGGTTTCCTCATTTGTAAAAGTGGGATTCTCTGAGACTCAGGTTCCTCACCTATAAAATGGGGTTAATATTAGTATCAACCTTCTAAGGTTGTTATAATGATTTAAATCAAAGCATATGACGCATAATAAGTGCTTGACTAATGTGAGCTTTTATCACTATCATTGTTTCACTCTTATGGGTTCTGTGAGTCATGCTGGCAAAAAGGGAGAGGTGGAGGTGGTATTTTTAAACAGCTTTCCATAGCTGCTGTAGCTATTACAGCTACACAGTGAGGACATGGGCAATCTCCTCTACTCTAACCAGTTAGCCAGTGTTCCCAGCTGCATTTGTTTCTCTTGCATCTTCAGGTATTTCCTGGAAGACATATCCCTTTAAAGCATGTAAGGGGAAAATTATTGCAATCAGTATGCAAGGTCTTTTCTACAAAAATTTAATTTTTTTTTTTTTTTGAGACAGAGTCTCACTTTGTTGCCCAGGCTAGAGTGAGTGCCATGGCATCAGCCTAGCTCATAGCAACCTCCAACTCCTGGGCTTAAGCAAGCCTTCTGCCTCAGCCTCCCGAGTAGCTGGGACTACAGGCATGCGCCACTATGCCCGGCTAATTTTTTGTATATATGTTAGTTGGCCAATTAACTTCTTTCTATTTATAGTAGAGACGGGTCTCGCTTTTGCTCAGGCTGGTTTCAAACTCCTGACCTCGAGCGATCCACCCGCCTCGGCCTCCCAGAGTGCTAGGATTACAGGCGTGAGCCACCACGCCCGGCCAATTTCTTTCTATTTATAGTAGAGATGGGGTCTCGTCCTTGCTCAGGCTGGTTTTGAACTCCTGACCTTGAACCATCTGCCTGCCTCTGCCTCCCTGAGTGCTAGGATTACAGGCATGAGCCACCTGGCCCGGCCACTACTATAGCTGCATAGCTGCTCTCTCCACTACCCTTTCACCCTATTCCAAACCATTCTCTACATTGTAATCAGAATGCTCTATCCACAATGCTTAAACTGTGAATGGCTTCTCTATGCTCTTAGGATAAAGGCTCAAATCAACCCAATGCTATGATTAGATGCTTACTCATCTCCCCAGCATCACTGTGTTCTACATATTTATGGAATAACTTCCCCCCAACCTTGCCCTCTGGGAGAACTTTTTTTTTGAGACAGAGTCTCACTTTGTTGCCCAGGCTAGAGTGAGTGCAGTGGCGTCAGCCTAGCTCATAGCAATCGCAATCTCCTGGGCTCAAGCAATCCTCCTGCATCAGCCTCCCAAGTAGCTGGGACTACAGGCATGCGCCACCATGCTCGGCTAAGTTTTTCTATATATATTAGTTGGCCAATTAATTTCTTTCTGTTTATAGTAGAGACAGGGTCTCACTCTTGCTCAGGCTGGTTTCGAACTCCTGACCTCGAGCAATCCGCCCGCCTCAGCCTCCCAGAGTGCTAGGATTACAGGCGTGAGCCACGCGCCCGGCCTGGGAGAACTTTCTTGATCCCTGCTCCCTCATCTTGTTTCTCCTTGTTTTATGTGCCCATGGTCCTTCATCTCCTTTTCTAAAGCTTATCACACTTTTAATTATTTGCTCAATTCCTGTCTTCTTTGCTGCTATACTCTAACTTCTATAAGAACATGGACAATATCTATCATGTATACAATACTTGGCACGCATTAGGGAAGAGCTCAACAAGTATCTGTTGACTACATATGAATTTAGTGAGACTATATAGACTTGTACGAGCTGGGCATGGGGGCTCACACCTATAGTCCCAGCTACTCAGGAGGCTAAGGCAGGAGGATCGCATGAGCCTGGAATTTGAGCCTACAATAAGCTTTAATCATGTCATGGCACTCTAGCCCGAGTGACAGAGTGAGACTCTGTCTCCAAAAACAAAGCAAAACAAAAACCTGTGCTATATGTAGGGCTTGAAGAAACTAGGGGATCAGCTTGGGGCAGAGAAAGCAGTCCTGCTGTGTGGGAAGCAAGGCCCTAAGTCTGGGGAGAAAGTAATTGGTGAAGCAGAGGAAGACACCAGAAATCCAGAGGGAATGCAGAATGCTCTGCGGGCTAGAAGGATTTGGCTGCAGGCGTTAGTTCTGGCCTGCTTGGGTAAATGCGAGAGAAATGTGAGCCTAGAGTATCTGCCTGGTAGATGAGGCATCTGCCCCAGTAAGAGGAATATGGACACTCTGGGTAGTCTCACATTTGACCCATACTTGCAAGGAGACACTTGCCAGAGGCCCTCTGGGAACTATTCTCTGGATCCAACAGAGAACTAGACCTGGGTTTCAATGCTGGCTCGGGCTGGCTCTGCTGCTCCCTGTTGGGAGACCCTGGGCAAATCACTGTATCTTTCTGAACCTAACGGCCTTGTCTGTAAAATGGGGATAATAAAAGTTGCACAACAGAGTTATTGTCAGGATTAAATCAGGTAATTAGCCTAAGGCCTGAATTACAGCACCCCTGAGTAAGTGTTAGATTACTGAGTGAACAAACAGGCATTGAAGGAAGCCAGCAGGGAGAAGTCAAGCTGTTAACAAACTGAAATCGTTTGCTAAAGCAGATCCCCTGTCGGCTGAAGCCACTGCCTGCTTGTCTCCCCAGCATCACAGTGTCCTATAGCAACAACCCCTTCGGTGAGAAGCGGAGGCCGTGGGCTCAGCGCCCACTGCCAGGCCTCCTGTGCCTGGAAAGCCTCCTCCCAAGTACACTCAGCTGGAGGCAGGAGGGAGGAGTGTAAGTTTTAAAGCCAGCCAGAGAGACCCATACTGATGTCAGCACTTACCAGCATCAATCTCTTATCAGTTGTAAGACCTTGAACAAGCCCCTGAGTCTCCAATGTGGTAGAAATCACACCTACTAACAGTTACGTGTAGGGATCAAAAATAATAATGTGTGTATCAATGTCAAAGGGGATATGTACTCTTGCCCCTCTGCCTAGGTTTTTTAAGTTAAAAATTATTAATTTTTATAAGACTATTAACACTATAATTCACTGAATGTATAATAAATGTTTAAATAATAAGATAGGGTAAACATTTTCAATGAGTGGGTCGGTCAGTGTTAGTATCTCATGAAGTGCTTTTTAGCCCTAGATATGTCAAGAGTTTTTTGAAAGGATAATTCTGAGTCAGTAAATAATTTAAGAAGATTCAAAACAATAGGTTTTTCCAGGATAACAGGAGTTTTACATGATGAAATATCTATTTCTGTGGGTAAAAATCAAATAATAAAAATTTTAAATCTATATCTAACCTACTCCAAAATATTTATACTACCCTGAATGAAGTCTACAGTGTCAATCTATCTTTACAAAAGACAAGATATAAACTGGTTACATACATGTTTTCCAAATTGAGTTCATAGAGGGTTTATAATCTGCCTTCTCCTCAAATCCAAGTCCTTCTGAAAATCTTTTTTTTTGTTTTTGTTTTTTACTTTTGAGACAGAGTCTCGCTTTGTTGCCCAGGCTAGAGTGAGTGCTGTGGCATCAGCCTAGGTCACAGCAACCTCAAGCTCCTGGGCTCAAGCTATCCTCCTGCCTGAGCCTCCCGAGTAGCTGGGACTACAGGCATGAGCCACCATGCCCAGCTAATTTTTTCTATATATATTAGTTGGCCAATTAATTTCTTTCCATTTATAGTAGAGACAGGGTCTTGCTCTTGCTCAGGCTGGTTTCGAACTCCTAAACTCGAGGAATCTGCCCGCCTTGGCCCAGAGTGCTAGGATTACAAGCGTGAGCCACCTTGCCTGGCCCGAAAATCTCTAACTTTACAATGAATGTGCAGAACACCTGACCTTAAAGCACTATTACTGGGCTTGACTGCTATCCACATCTCTGGTTGATAATATACAAATTAGTTTGAGAGTCTTTATTTATTCCACATAAGGACCGAAAAAGAAGGAAAAAAAAAAAAAAAGAGAGAAAGAAAAAGAAGGCCTCCCACAATATTTTCCTGTGTGTGTTTGAAATAACTAGCATAAAATGAACATGAAATTCAGTAACAGTTTTTATTACTACTGATTAGTCAGTAAGTTATTTCTGAGGGGAGGGAAGATACTTTGCTGGTTCAAATTTAAAAGAACCCGACAAGGCCAAATATAAGTTATAAAAACTAAAACAGGACCTTTGGAACCAGCATCTGTATTTTGTTTTTGTTTTTTTTTGTTTTTGTTTTTTTTCTCTTTTAAAACTACCGACAAAGTAGAAATTTTTATTTATTTATTTATTTTTTCCTAGCATCTGTATTTTGTGACTCACGATCAGTATTTTTCATAGAAAACATCAACATTACTTCTTTGCCGCCAAAGACATAGAGTCCATTTTCAGTTTCCACACATTTATGGAGAAACTGTCTCAAGTTCTAATGCCCAAATTTTCAGGGATAACTATATGAATGAGGTCTTAAAAAATAAAGTACAGGCCGGATGTGGTGGCTCACACCTGTAATCCTAGCACTCTGGGAGGCCGAGGCAGGCGGACTGCTTGAAGTCAGGAGTTCGAAACCAGCCTGAGCAAGAGCGAGACCCCGTCTCTACTATAAATACAAAGAAATTAATTGGCCAACTAATATATATATAGAAAAATTAGCCGGGCATGGTGGCCCATGCCTGTAGTCCCAGCTACTCGGGAGGCTGAGGCAGGAGAACTGCTTGAGCCCAGGAGTTTGAGGTTGCTGTGAGCTAGGCTGACGCCATAGCACTCACTCTAGCCTGGGCAACAAAGCGAGACTCTGTCTCAAAAAATAAATAAATAAATAAATAAAGTATAAAATCTTAAATATTAGTAAAGCTATTTCAACAAAATTGTTTACTTTTCAGAAAGGTATTTTTACCATAAAGAAGCTATTATATTACTTAATTTATAGAATCATTTTTACCCAGAATTCTAAGTAAAATAAATTAGTTAGCTTCATTTGAAATGAAGTTAGGTCTTTCTGTTCTGGAGTGATAAATTCTACCTGAAATCATTACAGTAGTCTCCCTTAACTGCAGTTTTGTTTTCCATGGTTTTAGTTAGCTAGGTCAACTGCGGTCTAAAACTGTTAAATGAAGAATTCTAGAAATAAACAGTTCATAAGTCTTTTTGTCTGTTTGTTTTCTGTTTGCTCTGTTACCCTGGCTAGAGTGCAGTGGTGTCATCACAGCTCACTGGAACCTCAAACTCCTAGGTTCAAGCAATTCTCCTGCCTCAGCCTCCCAAGTAGCTGGGACTACAGGTACACGCCACTATGCCCAGCTAATTTTTTATATTTTTTGTAGAGACGTGGTTTCGCTCTTGCTCAGGATGCTCTTGAACTCCTGGCCTCAAGCAATCCTCTCATCTCAGCCTCCCAGAGTGCTAGGATCATAGGTGTGAGCCACTGCACCCAGACACAATTCATTAAGCTTTGAAGTGTGCCACTCTGAGTAGTGCAATGAAATCTCATGCTGTCCCACTTTGTCCTGTCAAGGATGTGAATCATCCCTTTGTCCGGCATGTCCTATCTGCTCATTAATTGCTTAGGCATTTTGGTTATCAGATAGAAAAAACACAGTATATATTTGTGTTTGGTGCTATCTATAGTTTCAGACGTCCATTGGTGGGTCTTGGAACATATCACCCATGCATAAGGAGAGACTAGTGTATTCTAAAGATGTCTTAGTATGTCACAAAATGTTGTCAAAATGCATACAGATTTTTGAAATGCTTTATGGGTACACCTGGAATGTACAATAAAAAGAAGGGAGAATGAAAAACAAAGGCCATATGTACTTGCTATTAAATTAGAACTAACTGATGAGCACATATGTGCACAGAGGGAAATAAAACTCAGTGGAAATCAAGCAGGGGGAAGGGAGGAGGAGGGGATGGGCAAAAAACTACCTAATGAGTATAATGGACACTATCTGGGTGATGGGCACACTTATAACCCTGGCTCAAGCATAACAAAATCAGTACACATAACCAAAAACATTTGTTCCCCGGTAATATTAATATTTTTAAATTAAGAAAAGGAAATATTTCCCCCATTCATAGCAAACAAGACTTTCAAACAGGAATACATGTAAGAAAAACTATCATCAGGCCGGGCGCGGTGGCTCACGCCTGTAATCCTAGCACTTTGGGAGGCCGAGGCGGGCGGATTGCTCAAGGTCCGGAGTTCGAAACCAGCCTGAGTGAGACCCCGTCTCTACCAAAAATAGAAATAAATTAATTGACCAACTAAAAATATATATACAAAAAAAAAAAATTAGCCGGGCATGGTGGCGCATGCCTGTAGTCCCAGCTACTCGGGAGGCTGAGGCAGTAGGATCGCTGAGCCCCGGAGATTGAGGTTGCTGTGAGCCAGGCTGACGCCACGGCACTCACTCTAGCCTGGGCAACAAAGTGAGACTCTGTCTCAAAAAAAAAAAAAAAAAAAAAAAAAAAAAAAAAA